TTTTGGTAAGTATTAGGTCCAAAATGGGATTAAGTATTTTTAAAATCTCTTTAATTTTGCCCTTATAATTCCCCACAAGGAGCCTTAGCTTGCATTTGCTATACCGGACAGCTTTTGGCAGATTTTCGCCGTCCGGTATAGCCAGGTGCAGCTGTACATGTTTTAAAGTTCAACGGTAAACCGTTCATGAGGCCTATTTTTGGTGAGCAGTCTGACCTGATACCAGTGGCCAAAAGGCTAAGGCGACAAATAATCACTTGTCAAGGTGGAACTCCAGACATACCAGGCCTAGGCGATATCCACCGCATTTTCCCGACGTGGGAATGTAGATGTGTTCGGAATATACAAAACTTCCAGGTCAATGAAAGACCAATAGCAAAAGCAGAATATATAAAGCACAACCCCCAACGATATAGATAGTATCATCATAAGCATCAACAGTGGAATTATCTCTAGCTGGCTAGAGAATACATTGCATACTCGATCAATCATACGATCTCATACTCGATCTGTCCTTTCAACGATATCCAAGCTTTATCGTAACTGTCTTCAACCCAGCTCTCAAAATGTTCTCATTCACAAAATCTCCCCGCCGGTTGACGATACTCAATATCATATTGAGCCTTGCACTCATTACATTCAGTCTCCCTTCTTTTACTGCCGCGAAGCCAATCACTGGCCGCCTTCAAGCACGAGGCATTGATGGCCGAAAATGGAGGGGTTGCACGCCAGCGGAAACGAAAGTGATGAACGAGGCTAAGACATTTGTGATAAATATCCTGGCCGTGAATGCTGTAGACTCTCTCAAACTACCACTCGCTGCAAATCACCAGGCACGGTTCGCAAAATATTTTGGCAGCAACGTAGCGGCCACGGACGAAAAGGTTATCCACCCAGTCGTGTTCAAGCTTTTCGACAACATTGTGAAGAAAGGTGCACAGTTGGATATTGTGTGCGGGGACGAAACAGATGTGATGGGGTGTGGATCGCCGACGTAAGTAAGGATGTGTTATACGTTATGCCGGCAGAATAAAAGGAAGCGTGCGGAATGTACTGTACTAACACGGGCTCAATATCATATACAGGGAACTCTCGGCACTCGTCGCAGCTGGGTTTAGCAGAATTTATCTCTGCAGAACATTTTTCGCATTAAATCATCATGTGAAGGCCAGTGACTTCACATTCGCTTCGGTTGAAACGACTTTACGCTATCTTACAGGTTCGTACTCTACTATTTCCCACGAAACCCTGCAAAATTAGCCAATTTTGCAGTATTTCCTGCACAACCCGAGTACACCCAGCGTACGATCGAGGAATTATTGTGCGCAGTGTGGTTAGCTAACATATAACCTGAAATAATAATAGTTAGTATCCTGCTTCACGAAATGACACATACCGTTGCCATGGCAGGCCATATCAATGGTCCCGATGGATTTGCGGGCACTGCCGACCTAGCATATGAGCCTGAACAGCTGGACGGACTTAAATGGGAGGAAAAGAAGGCGAATGCAGATAATTATGCCGCATATGCGTTGGGTTTGCATCCACCTCTGTGACTTCTATGACCACATGAATGAAAGAAGCTAAGCAATTAAGGAACTCTCAGCAACCTATATCGACTCTTTGCATCACTGCACCGCCCCGTTCAAGCGAGACTACATTCCCACCGCATTGAACAAGCGCGTATTGACCCCGAAAAAGAAGCCAACTATCGCCCCAAATAAGTGCCCTTCTGTCCCGCAGGGGTGTACAATGAAAACAACGTTCGGAACAACTTTGTGTGTTCCAAATAAAAAGTGCCCGAAGAATCAAACAAACAACCCGACTAATCCTGCCTTGTGCATTGCTGATAAAGTAATATGCCCTGTTGGAAAAATTATGGCCCCTACTCTCGTGAAGTTTGGCGCAAAGCCCGCATTGCGGGGTATTGGGTGCGGACCTCTGAAAAAAGCCTAGGCTGGTGGTCGAGAGAAAAGGTTGGATTTGGGGATGAAAGTAAAAGAGAGATTCGAATCGACAATGTCTGCGGGAATACGAGCGAGGGAGGACGGACATATGAAGATTTGATCTTGGGCGACATGTGACGTATTTGTATCCACGGGATTGGCGTACAAGGCTCTATTTTAAAATGTTTAGTTATAGATGGTTGAATTTCATGCAACAGGTCCAGAAATGATAGCATGATGTTTGCATATCTACGAGTAACCCAACTTCGGATTGCTTTCGCTCTTGTAGCCGAACGGGTATCGTCTTCTGGGAAGTGATATAATGTCAAGGCAATGTTGGAGTAAGTGGTATTAAGTTTTGTAAGATTACCAACACGAACAAATTCAGTGGCTATGTGCGGTGGGGCAGGGCATCGTGGCCCGAATAGAATCGATGGCCTCGGAAAACATTCGCAACCACTAGATGCATCATCAGGGGAACGAGTATTTCGTGATCCTGTGATCGGGTGCTCTGGGTGATCGCAGCATGTCTGACAGTTCTCTCTTGAATTTTATATAGCGAATACTTGCTGAAAATAATTTTAAAAAGTCATGAGAAATTATGTTTAGGGGAGCTTTGGATTTCTCAAAAGACAAAATTTTTCTGAAGATTTTGTTAGCAAAAGGTTCCCCGATCACAAGAAACTCGCTAATTAATTTCCCCAGATGGAAATTACTCCTAGAAGTAGTTTCTGGGACCTCATGAAATAAAGCAGCTGTCCTAACAGATGGCATTTTAACTGCTTCCAGTGCCTGAATAGCTTCCAAAATTTTCTCTTCCTTCTTGGAGTTCATTGTGTTGTAGCGTTGCGTCGAGAACTGTTATTGCTCTAGAGTTGTCAAAGATCGCACTGCAAGTAGATAAAGTGGGTGGGCTCACGGTCGTGGCTAATTAATTGTTCTTGGTAAGGATCTACAACTATCTAATCCTCCGTCCACCCTGTCTCAGTCTACCTCCCCTGCATTAATTTGTGGGTCATGTGATGCATGCCCTAAGCCCTAACCAGATTCGCTTAACCTGCATAGTCATGAGATCATTAGCATAAACCTTTAGCGGCGACAAGAGTAAAGTACTTCAGCAGTATGAAAGGCAATGAACCCATAGTAACTGGGACGGGTGCATTCGTTGTAGTGAGGTTTAGTCTCGCTGGGGTTAAATCGAAGCCAAGTTTGGTTTGGTTTCTAAACAATGAGGGGAAATGGTCTATTTAGTATATAAGATGAGGGTCCGTCCACTAAACAGTGCGAGACTGTGGAATAGTGAATTGGTACGACATCGACCAGGCGAGCATCCACTAGACCTTGAAATAGGACCTATTCAATTTTGAAAATTTAACTTCCAACCTTAATCCGCATCTTGCAAAAGAAGAGTAGGTAAATATGGCTCCAATAGCATCACCGAAAGCAGAAGGTCCGGAGAATTCATTTGGAGCAAATGAAAGTGTTGAAATCGATATAAGTTCAATCTTCCTTTTTTCTCCCATTTACCGCCCTACATCAATCCCGAAGCTGCAAAATCGAATTTATTACTTAGGGATTCGGATTCATAGGAAGAATGGATTGTATCCGGACCAGGTGCAGTTGATGAAGGGCTCGGAGTGTAAATACCCTAGATCGCCTCATTTTTATGAACAAGCCCTAACATGAAATTAATGCCTGATCAGCCAAGTTTCCTCATCTACCGCCTCTAACATGTTACGGTGAAAGATGAGGACGGTAAAGGAGGAAGGGGCAGGGAGAACTAGCCTCAGGATCATGTATACCTTCCGGGATAGGAAGTAGACGGTACTAGCTAGCTTGGATGGAGGATGGACCCCTTGAGAGAGGGGCGGAGGGGGCTTAGAAACTACACAGATTTACTACTACAAATCATACACATACTGGTGATCGATTACTGTGACCCGTCGACTCGACATACGTCTTATATATCACAAGTTCGATATTCAGCTTTACCGAATTCGAATGGCCGGAGATACCACAGTGATCACCAGGCAACCTATTATTCGAGGTTGATGACGCCGAAGAAGATTGGTCCTGGGATGACAACTATTTCGACTATATACATGTTCGCTCTCTATGCGGGGTCATAGCTGACTGGGGCCGTCTCATGGGCCAAGTACACGAGTAATAACCAGAAAAACATTATCACTTCTATATGTGGTCAGTCATAATAATATCTCTCGTGAATATAGCAGAACAGCTCCCGGGGGCTACTCTGAATTCCAAGAATACATCTGTGAGCCACACTACTATGACGGCACACCACTTCTTACACCCGACCCAGCTCACCCTATGGTGACATACATGTACCACGCCCGCAAGACGCCCGACTTAAGGAACTTGGCCGGTGGGGAAGACTGGGAAGCCAGGACAGTCTCTATCCTTCTGGCTTACATCTTCTATCTCGCGAGGGCTGGTCCGTCGAGAAGATCAAGAAACTATGCGACGATGTAATTGAGTCTGACGAAAATGGCCAGGCAAGGTATTACTTCTAAATATACTTCGTGTATGGGCAAAAGCCGACGGAGAAGGAGGTGGCAGAGAAAGCAAAGGAAAACAAGTAATTTCTATGTTGTTCGTTATTTGTGTATTTGATGTTAGAGATATATCATTCCCGGGAAACCAGAAAGCATCAAGTTGTGTGTAGTATTTCCCAGCTTATAAGCTATATATAACAGATGTTCTTTTTTGATGTAATATTGCCATCATAACTATATTGAGCCCAGAGGAGATATTAGGCATTTTGAACAATGTAAGCAATCACATCCTCAATATCAATGTATGAGGTATGTGCGGAGGTGGTGTACTTTTTGGGATGTAATATTTCAAAGTACCTCGTTGCCAAAGTAGATACATTATCTTAGACTTATATCTTCACCAAGGGCTAGGAATTGAACATTGGAGACACATGTAGCTTTGCATGCGCAATGTATAAGAGAGACCCAAACCTGCGTCCGGAGCATTGTGATTATGGAATTGCTTCACGTTGCAAAATAAAGGATCATTCACATCCAATCCGTCATGGTGTAGTGGCTAGCATTTCAGACTCTCATTCTTCATAGAAGTTGTGCGCTCTGAGAACCCGGGTTCAATTCCCGGTGACGGAACATTCTTTTTTCCTTCAAATCTTCTTTTAAAATACTCATGAGCAGGATGTTTTCTTTATTTTTGCAAACCTTCGGCGCCCTATGTCTCTACTCATCTCCATTTGCATGACAATTGATTTTGAATCGCAAGGAGGTAAGTAGCTCTGAAGCAGGCACCCGCTGCCCAATCCACATGCTGCTTGTAGCAAAATCATAACGGAAATTACGTCTATTCAGCTTCCAGTGTCTCCACGAATATCGTTCACGAAAATATATAGTTATGTTCATGTAACTCTTTAACGTTCCTCCATTCATCTGATTATGAGATTGTAAATTCCCTCCCTCACTAAGTATATTATTCAACCGTGTGATCCTAAGTACGTATTCCAGATAAAGAAACAATGCATAGATACCCCCCATCCAACCCCTCCTCTCCACCCAATTATTCCTAACAGTTTTGCAAAGAAAGTTCATGAAGCCCATGTTCAATAAAAAGGGAGATATCCCAGCATGCGATCCCCCGCCTCTCCCATATCATCATCTTCCAGCTATCCAATGATAAGTTGAGATTTCTTCGAATTGCTCAACCAAAACTAGCCCATCATCGATATCCAAGCCTGTCCAATGCCCACCTCCCAAGAAAATTCCATATTATCATCCGTCTCTTCGGTTGGCCTTCCTATCAATTAAGGTGTCCGAGCCGCTTGAGCCTGGCCATTGTTTGCACCTGCGCTTGCAAGTGGGACGGACTCTTCTGCTCCTTTTGGTTGCACCACAATGTTCATTTCCATATCATCAGTCAACTTCTCTTTCACATCGCCACCTTTCAACTCGTCGCGATGCCGAAACGCAACCCATGCAGCTGTCATCAAGACGATCCCTCCAAATATTGCGAGGAGGATCCAGCCAAGATTTGCAGGGGGGAGTGTGCTGTGCTGTCGAGGGTATCCCAGGGTCGAGTTTTCCGTTGGGACGGCGCTAAAAGAGCCCGATGTGCTTGGAGTTCTCTGGCTTGCGAAGATTGCAGCGAGGGTTGGCTCCGTGAAACCTCCTGCGGGTTCCGTTCTTGTTGCATGGCCACTGGAGCTATTTATTGAAAAAAACGGTGTGAGTTAGTGCCTGTCCTTGAAGATGTAGGGAGAAAGGTCAAAATAACAACGGAGAACATACTCGCCACCAATAGCTTTATATACAGGTTCTGGTACCTCATATTCTTCGCCTTTTGTTTTCGGTTTGCTATTGATCCATTCTAGTTTGGTCAGGTCAAATACCCTTACAAGCTCTCCTTTGGGAAGACAGCCTTGTTCGCCCCTTCTCCCCCCGCCTCCTCCTCCGCCGAATACTCCCATTTGCCTCGGCTCTCCCGGAACTTTGAAGCATTTCCCTCCACCTGGAATAGGGCTTCCATCTGACATGCTTCGAGGTTGTGGTGGTACGTTTATCCATTCAAACGAGGGAAGCGTGAGGATGTGCATTGATGTTGTATTCCACCCCGGATTAGAGGTATCTGGGTTGTGGACGTATGTATAGATGTTGAGTGATGACCTGTCTGGAGCCGCGACTGCGATCGCACAGTCCAAGATTGAAGAATTCGTGAAGGTTGGTATTGGGGTATATGTCTGTTTGTGCCATTTGTTTGTGGCAAGGTCGTGGATCATTGCTACACGCTGAATGTATCGTCAGCACAATGTGATTACCCAATGCCCATTTTGCCCAGAATGTTTGTTTTTTTCTGGATTTAATTCACAAAGGGCATGTGTGAGCACTTGGAAATAGATGGCTTTGAGACAAACCTCCCCGAACCCAGTGGCCGATAACACTATCAGCACTCCCTTCTCCCCATAACCTTCGGCAAATACCATCTGCAATTCTCCTTGTAGTTTCCCGTCGCCCCCAACCACTGGAGCGTCTCCATCAACCTTGGCCTCAATAGCACCTCTCTCGGGAGCACTCAAATCAACCGTGAGAAGAACCGCACTGGCAGGCGAATGCTTATACTGTTCCGACACCTCACTTCTAGGCCCAACCATGACCCCATTTTCATTCCACCCACTTTCTAGCAAAAATCCTCCAAAAATATATCCGATCCTACGACCCTCGTCAACCGCACTGGCGGAATATGCATACGAGACGTTGAGAGAGGGGGGTGGGGGGTACTCGTATTCGTTGACGGACCAGTTCGGGGGAGCGAGAGTCCACAGTCTGTTGTGGTAGGGCAGCCGAGGAATATGTCGAGCCGGACTGCCTGGTGGTGCTTCAGCGGTTGAAGGTTTCCCCGGGAGATATATGAGTGCGCTTGTGTTTTGGTTTGGAAAGAGGACACCACCAGACAGAGTTGGAAGCCTCTCTGACAGTGGATAGCTGCTGAGATTGTGTGGACTGGAGCCGCTGTCCCCCGCAGCGCCCCAGGGCGTGAGCTCATAGAGCTGGGTGTCTATTGGAGGTCAGATATAAGGGCGCCGTTGGAAAGAGTGGGAGATGAATGGCCAATTGCCCAATTCGATGGTTCGCGAGAGATCATCGGGTCTCGACGCATGGGAGATATATACCCGCTTCTGTTTTGGCCCCTTCGCTGCCAATGATTTCTCCGCCGATGATGTAGGCTTTCTCTCCCAGGACGGCCACTAGAGGGGAGTTGATTTTGTCAGCCGGGGGTGTACCGAGGAATCTTCTAGGGTAGGCTGCGCGATGCAACTGAATAACATACGGGTATGGCCAAAGTGCGCACAACGGCTTGCTGTGTCCGGTAACACCATCTCAGATAATGTCTCTCCTGATATTCTATCGATATTGCTGGAAAAGCTCCAGGGTGATGTTGTGTCGTCGAAGCAAGGAGAAAACCGTTGTCGGCGCGTCTGTGCACGCGAGCGCACAGGAGAGAATATCGGAACTAAGGGGGAAAAAGAAATGATACGATTCACCCTACGTCACACCCACGCTTGAAACTTTTCCTCTCACTCAAACCAAACAATCGCAGATGGTGGAGGAGTAGGGAGTACAAAGAGGCGGTGGCCGTTGTATATGGATAGCATATCATCGTGGTACCTGGGATCCCATCGTCAGAGCTGGACTTGTTGGAGCGTGCCACGCGTAAAGACAAGCTATAATGCGGGGTGCAGAAGCGTTGGCTTCCCTCCATCATTGTCCTAGAACCTTATTGGCGAGCTTACAGTAATGTTTCAGGCAAGCCATTCTCGTATTTGCGTGTTCCTCTAGGAAAATTTTATACTGCGATGCAGAAAGCGTTCAGCCGCAAATACCACCAAAAGCTTTTGAACATGTTTTGGTTTGGGAAATTTTAACCTTCGGCCTGCACATCAATGCAGGGAGTTAAGGCTCCGATGGCACGAGACTAGCTCCGATCGTCGTTTGATTTTCCTTTCTGGACGTAGCGCTTTTCATCAAGTGTGCCCTCATTGGGACATCCCGAGATGCGTGACGGCAAGCCATGCCCAAAGAATTTATCGGCCGGCGACAGGAAATGTCACGGGTTCTCGTTGTGAAGGGAGCACTCGAGCAGGTATTCTAGGTTTCATTGGGTTAGTGAGGCCAATTAGAGTACAATATTCAATTACAATCGACCAGATTGAAATTTTATCAATTGGCCGTACTCTACTGTCGAAGCGATCTGATACCTAGAAGCGACCCATATTTTACTTGCGATTTTGGCAAAAATACAAAAACTAGAAATTCAGAAAAAAATGATCTGAATAAGAAATGAATTGGGAGTGAATTAGTATGTTATGAATAGTATATTTCAAATTATTTGCTGTATATATCTGAAAACTGACTGTGTGGTTAATGTTGCAAGTACTGATTTATTTTATACACTTTTTACATACTAAATTCGCATTTTGTTGATTTTTATAAATTGTTTAATAAAAGCGCTATGTACACCAGACTGTATAATCTATATAACCATATCAATATAGATATTTTGCTTCCCTTGCAGCAGAATTGGAGTGCTTGGTGGGCAAATTCTGAGCATGAGACGATTTTGAGGGCAAAAAAATAGGCCCAGTATGACAAAAATAGGTATTTGTGTACTTATGAGGCTAGAGAAAATGTATATTGTACCAGTTAACTATACAAACTTTCTTATATATTTATTTTTTTATTTTTAAGGCCATTGGGAAATAATCCCTGCCTGATTTAAAAACAACTATAAACACAAATCCCGTGAAAAAGCATAAACCAAACAAAACACGCTCCACTCGTGATACCCCATCTTCCACACTTCTAACTATCTTCCACACTTCTAACTAACTGGCAGCCGATGTAACCAACTGGCAGTCGATCCAACCCTCCGCTCAGAACCCTCATATCTGCTCGTGATACCTCATTTTCCACCCTTCTACCCATCTAGCAACCATTCTAACCCCCGCCCAGACCCCATTCTCCACACATCACATTCGCCCCCACACCTCCTCCTTTCCCACTGGACCGCATCACACACACGCGTGATACCCTGTTCTCCACTTATCCACCATGCACCCATTCATCTATACCCGTGATACATGCTCTCACACCATACCCGTGACACCTCCTCTCCTCTCAGTACTTAGATACCAAATAGTATAAAAACCCGCAGATAAGCTCCGCATTCGCCCCTTTAGGCTCCACAAACTCCTCCCACAGTCTCATAGCAGACATGCCCATTACCCCCTGTAATTGATCGTACATCAACTTCCTTTCCCCTTGCCATCTCGAGCACCCCAAAAGAACATGTCTCTCATCCTCCAAGACAGCGCATACCGTACACTTCCTTTCCAATCTAGGTAGCCCCACATATCTACCCTTCTCCACCGCAAAGCCATGTGTACTCGTTCTGAGTCTAGCCACCGCTCTAGCCTCGTGTGGTTTCCTGCAAGTGTACGGTTGAGGACGCAACGAAAAGGATTTTGAACGGGAGATCACTGGAGGGCACGACCGTAGATAGGAGTATCTCGAGGATTTCAGTTGATCATGCAGGCTGGCAGACACTCGGGATGCTACCCAGGCCTCGTGTCTCTCGGGCAGAG